CCAGCCAGTGGACCGCCGGCCCCCGACATGCCCAGCCAGTGGACCGCCGGCCCGCGGCACACCGAGCAAGTGACCCGCAAGCCCCCGCCCAACCCTAGGTGCAAATTAGCAAAGAACGAACTAACGCCATCCCCAACACACAAAACCCCCTCACACAAAACCCCAACACACACGACCCCAACACACACGACCCCAACACACACGACCCCAACACACACGACGTGCCCCCCGCAGAGGCGTGGCTCCCGCACAAAAGAGGCTCACGCCAAAAAGAGGCTGTACCTGCTCCCCCGCAGAGGCTGCAAGAACCACGCCCTCTCCCATCACAAAATTCTTCCTCAAAAAAAAGTGCAAAAAACACTCGCACTCCTGCAGAATTCAGCGAAAAAATCACTCGCGCTCCTACGCGATTTTTACTCGCACGACTGTCACAGGCGCTAGAGGGCGGGGAGGAGAGGGGAAAAAAGATCCCCGCCCTCTAGCGCCTGTGACAGTCGTGCGAGTAAAAATCGCGTAGGAGCGCGAGTGATTTTTTCGCTGAATTCTGCAGGAGTGCGAGTGTTTTTTGCACTTTTTTTTGAGGAAGAATTTTGTGATGGGAGAGGGCGTGGTTCTTGCAGCCTCTGCGGGGGAGCGGGCACAGCCTCTTTTTGGCGTGAGCCTCTTTTGTGCGGGAGCCACGCCTCTGTGGGGGGCACGTCGTGTGTGTTGGGGTCGTGTGTGTTTGGGTCGTGTGTGTTGGGGTTTTGTGTGAGGCGGTTTTGTGTGTTGGGGATGGCGTTAGTTCGTTCTTTGCTAATTTGCACCTAGGGTTGGGCGGGGGCTTGCGGGTCACTTGCTCGGTGTGTCGCGGGCCGGCGGTCCACTGGCTGGGCATGTCGCGGGCCGGCGGTCCACTGGCTGGGCGTGCCGCGGGCCGGCGGTCCACTGGCTGGGCGTGTCGCGGGCCGGCGGGCCACCCAGACCCCGCTTTGGCGGGGTCGTCAAGAATGGAAACTCAGGCTAGGTGGGCCTTGAAAGACCCCGCTTTGGCGGGGTCGCCAAGAAAGGCTAGTTTACTTCCATTCCATAATAATAAATATCAATAGCATTAAGTGAACACTTTATGGAGGATTGTAGTCTATTTACAATAACATTCAGTAGAAACTTTTCAGTTGATTGTAGTCTATTTAGATAAAGTGTGGGAACTTATGACATATTTTTTATGGAACATGGACTAAATCGAATGAGTATTGAGCAGTCACCATTGGGGCCTGCTCGTTTGCCATTTTGAGAGAAACATGAAATGGGTCTCAGAAAAGAGCAGAATATATGTATTGTGAGGCGAAAGGACATTATTGAAAAATTGCAGTATTAGGGAAGGATTTTTTACATAATTTGTTATTAGAGTGAAGGTGGTTGCTAAATTGGTGAAGGAAAAGCGTGAGAGAGTAGTTAAAGTTTAAATCAATAACTCAGTAGATTATCAAAGGTGTGATTTTGCTGTTTCCGTGTGCTTCAAACATTCTGTAGTTTATTTTTAGGCAATTAAACGATGTTTATTGGTAGCTTTAACGTTCTTCACGTGCACAGTAGGTTTGATGTTGTGGAAATGGTTCTTTCATATTACAATTTCTGACAATACCCAGGCATCTTAAATTGCGACGCTGGTCAGCCTAGCCTAATTATTGCGTTTAATGTGGGAACCTTGTTACTGTACGTATTATAAGTAGGTCTATCATCCAGGACTCAATTAATTAATTTATTTGCCAAATAAAAGCAATTTGGTAACCATTCAACTGTTGGAGAGGTTGGTGGTGTTCGTTTTAAATGTACTACTATGACCTTGTCAATTAATTGTCTATAGGTCAGATGATTTTTCGAGATTTTTATAATCATGATAACGCTATTTTTGGTACAGTTCACATATATCTAGCTACTTTTAACAGAATCTTCCTTTCTGATTCAAATCACGTGATTTCATTGTTGCTAGGTGGTGTGTTAATATCAGCTCGGGCGTTTCCGCCTCGTTTTGACATTTTAATACCAATGGATGAGGCCTTCAAATTTGGTAAAGCAATAGACTTGTTTTTTGGTTGCCCCGGACCTCCATTTTATATGGAGAAGCTCAAATTTCGATATTTTCACGAAGAGGCATCCAGCAAAGTCATTTATCTATTTCCTCTTCACCCCGACCAAATTTGAAAATAAATTAATCTTTATATGAATTTTACTTAATACCTGTGTCTAAAATATTGCCGAAAGAGAATATATATAGTTCCACAAATGTTTCATTTTTGAGCACTACCACTAATGTTTCATTTTTGAGGACTTTTTATCATGCTATAAAACTTGACTGATTATCAACTATCCTAACTTGTGTCAATGGCAGATTTCTAGCAGAAAAACAAATATTTACTTCATCATCATAATAATTATCAAAATGTTTGCTAATTTTGAAAACAACAACAATTAATAGTTACTATTGGTGAGCCAACCCTAGAGTTGAGAATCCTCAAAACAAAATCCATAACTAAAGCAAAATCTAAAATCTGATGTTTTCAAAATATATGAGGCAAACCCTCAAATATATCACAATGAGGGAGGCGTGTATTTCACCAACATCCTCGTAAAAAACCAATTGCAAGATTGGTAACAATAAATGGCTAGAGTTGAGGATCCTCCAAAGTTAAATAGCACATTTAAAGCAAAATCTAATAGATGTTTATAACGCATAGGGGGCAAACTCTGTAAAAGTACAATGAGGGAACCGTGTGTTTCATAAACATCCTCGTAAAAAAACCAATTGGAAGTAGGGTATGAAAATCTATGAAATAGGGGTCCTATCAATCGCTGAAACTATTTGAGAGCAGGATGCAAAATCTTGAATTATCCTTCAACTTTACAATAAACATACAAAGATCCTCTAAATCAATCAAATTATAACGAAACAAAGGCCAAAGAAGAAATGTCTTTCATTCAAATCGTCGTGTCAAAACGTCTCGCAAATGCCCTGAAAAAAAGAGGAATAATGGTTATTAAATTTCAGCGCTAGTGTACGCGTAGAAACAATTCATTAAAGCATGTTTCCATGTCGAAATGGAAATGGCTGGAAAAATTGCTTAGCAGTTGTAAAATTGGTCTAAAAGCGGTAGAAAAACACGTACAAAAAAGGAGCAGAATGATTATTTTGACAAAAAGGGGCAGCTTCCAATCCATGAAAATATCGCAAAAGCAATCAATCAACTGTGAGGGGTTAGGGGAGGCGTAACTTCACCGGCATTTGCAATAGATGGAAAAATGTATTGAAAAAGTTATTAAATTTCTATACCACGATGAGGGCAACATGAAGTTTACAAAAACTCTACTAAATCTTGTCACTAAGGGTGTAGCATGAATGTTTAAACAAAAAGGGGCAGCAAAAATTCGTAGAAAATATCGCGAAAGCAATCAATCAATCGCGAGGGATAGGAGGAGGCGTAACTTCACCGGCTTTCGCAACACATGAAAAACTTTATTGAAAAATTTAATTTTCTTAAATGAACACTTGGCATTTCGTTTAGAATTCATTCAGCATATTTATCTAAAAAACGGCAAACAAAATTTGAGTATAAACGAAGTAAAACACGAAGAGATCTTTGATATCAAAAATCGCTTACCGTGTGATGAAGCTGGATGAGAATATCTTTTACAATACTTTGGTCAATCTGCCACGGGAATGTCCTGCAAAAAATCCAAGAATAACCGAAATGAAAACTGTGACGCAGCAAGTTTACCAAAATCAAATGTCGACATCGAAGATCAAGGTTCCTAATCGATGCGTCACTAATGATCGTTAACGATCCGCAGTCACAAAAAGTTTCCCCAATAACGACCTTGCAGACAATGGGGTCACATCACAAAGGGGGCGTAGCTTGATCGTCGTTCGCAACTCGTCAGGCAAAACTGTCCTATAAAGTTTGAATTTCCTGAATCTAGGCGTTACAATTCGCTGAGAATTCGTTGCACAAATTGATAAATAATAAAATATAAAATACCTCTATCTTGAAACGTAGATAAACGAAAAGGGATGAAAATAACCCCGAAAACAAACGCACTAACCTGATGAATATTCAATTTAGGAAATGTATTCAAATCGTGTTCTCGACACTGTCCTGCAAAAACAGCAGAAGAACAGACGGTAAATTCAATGTTGTAGCTAATAAAAGAGCAACAGAAACATAGTATTCAATAAAGGGGCGACTATTAAATATTTCGCGGTAGGGGCAGGGCGTTTTGTTAGAAAAATGGCAGGGCAAGGTACAGAAACATGAGCGAAAAGAATAAACAATACTCACAGTGAAAACTGCGTCCAAAATCAAGGGTCCATTGTGAGAAACATGTCGACTTCTTTTTCCAAACCTTTCTTTCCAACCGTGTGCTCTAAAATGCAGCTGGCTGGAAAATGATCTTCGCGACAATTCATCATGGTTTTGTCCTGTTGAGACTGTTTTGACACAAATTGCACGGTCATTTATCAATCGATCCCCCATAAAAGGGAATTTTTCAGTTACCGGGAAAAAAACTGTCCCTGCAACAATGCAAATCGCTAGGTCATCGGAACGTATCGCCAAAAGACCATGATAACCATGTGAGTGCCTAGTTTAAGCAACAATGATGAGATAATCATGACAATCATAACTTTTGCTCGTACGGTCTCGAGCTTTTGGGAGAAAGGTGTCGCAAGCGAGCTGTTTCGATTCCAAAAAAACCTCGAATCAAAACTTCCATCCAGAAGGGAGAACCGAGCTGTGACGCAGCAAGGTTTTCTTGCAATATTTTTAAAGATAAGCTTTCAGTTTGTTTTCGAAATGACTAAAGGCAATTTTTGCTTCATGAAAATGAAGTCTAGTCATTTTTTATGCCTAAAACAATGCCGGGGCAAGCTATGACGCAGCAAGTTTAGCAAATCAGAAAAGTTGTCTTTCCACCGTGGTTCTTTCAAGAAAGAACGGTTAATGGGTACCTAAGTATCGCTAACGTCCCGCAGTGACAATCAGGTTGACGCTTAATGATCGCGCCTCAATTGTATAGTTTGATCAAGAAGGGAAAGGTCCTGCATCCTTCGCAATCAAACAAAATGAAATTGTAAAGATAAGCTTCCAATTTGTTTTCGAAACGACTAAGAAAGTTTTTTCCATCATAAAAATGCTGTCAACCGACTTATACTGCGTAAAACAACGGCGGGGCAAGCTATGACGCAGCAAGTTTAGCAAATCGAAAAAGTTGGTTTTTCACCGCGGAGCTTTGCAGAAGGAAAGGTTAATGATCGCTAACGATCCGCACTGACAATCAGGTTGCCACTTAATGATCTCGCATCAATGCTTTAGTTTGATTAGGAAGGGAAACATCCTGAATCGTCCGCAACCAAAACAAACTTTCTTGTAAAGTTTCATTTTCGAAAATTTCGGCATTTTTACGTCCGTGTTAACTTCAATCGTATGTTTGGAATGCTCAGTGAAGTGCATGTGGATAGGAAATTCTTGTTGATTTTATTGAGCTTTCAATTCTTTGTTACAATGATGGGGGATGGCGGGATGGCGGGGCCCGTACCCCCACTCGGACAGGATTTTGTTAGCTTAATTTTTCTTTTCTGTGTGATTTTCATTTAAATCCAAGGCCCCTTATAAAAAATCAGGAAGAAGTTTTTCGAGGGTTTGACATTTATTTTTTCGATTTCACCAAGTAAACAAAGATGGCAAAGAGAACGGACACGTGATGTAAAAAGTAGTGGTACAGCTAAATTCGAACATGATAAGCATGAGCGTCTAGTTTAAACAATGAGATCGCATTCTTAGTACTTATAACGATCAAACTTTCGACCAATCACGGTCGAGCCAGAGTCCTAACACAAAGGATTCGTACACTGCTGTACTGTACATTACAGTACAGGGCAAAATCATGACAATCATAACTTTTGCTCGTACGATGCTGAGTTTTTGGGAGAAAGGTGTCGCATTCGACCGGTTTTGATTCCCAAAAATTCGAATCGAAACTCGCATCCAGAAGGGAGAACCGAGCTGTGACGCAGCACCGTTTTTGGTGCCAAAAAAATCGATGGTGATTAGCAGAGCCTTGGCAGAGTAACTCTGCGGAGATAATTGCCCTCGGCACAAAGAGGTGGCGGTTAACGACCTCGCTGACAAAGCCTAACACGCTTAACGACCCGACGTAACCTTTTCTCCGGAGAGGCAATCAGGTCCGCAAGCAAAGCAACTTCCGCCTAGAAAAAGTTTGTTTCGAGGATTTTCAGGCAGGAAGACGGGACCGAATCGAAAATCGAAGGCCAGCTGCAGACTCACGTCGACGGACGGGATCGAACGGAGGAAAGAGCGGGACGTTTCGAGGAGGCCTCGAAACCGATCTCGTTCGAAGAGGCGTCGAGTGGGTGAGACCGTGTGCAGACGTGCTTGCCCCTCATTTGCATAGTAGCACATTCGTTGTTTCGAAGCTAATTTGCATAGTAGGATTTTAGTATATTGAGATGGGTGGACCGCCGGCCCGCGGCACGCCGAGCCAGTGGACCGCCGCCCGCGGCACGCCC